GAGTGTAACTTTCTCTTAATATCAGGCACTGTTTGATTGATAAAGGCAAACATCACAGTTGTCTCCTTCTCCCTTGCCTCAGGATCACAGGATGTGTACCTGCGGAAGGCCTCCTATAATCAGTCATTCTAAATATGCAGCTAGGCTTTCCTCCCGGCCACTGTCTGACATCATAGACCTTAGACATGTTGGCTGGCCTTCTGGCTGCAGCCTTGAGACCCATTAACAGAGTCCGGTGATAGACCACGAGATGCTACTTACCTTGTCCCGTGTTATAATCCCAGGTTGGGCGTGTGGTTGGAATGCCAGTGTCTATGATGGCTGGGTCATCGGTGGGATCCCCTGTTGGTCCTGGAACCAATTTCCAGGCAGCCTCCAAGATCCTATTTCTCTCCTCTCTGATAAAAAGAATCTTAAGAAGCTGCTGGCAGTCGTCCCAGCTAGGCTGCTGAGTGAAAAGGATGGTTTCTAGAAGATTAATTAAGTCTCGGGGGTTGTCTGAATAAGGGGCGTTTTGGGATGTCCAGTTTTACAGGCCACTTGTGGCCAAGGGCCAAGGGGCCACACCCACTCCAGGGGTGTCTGCATGACAATCCTAAAAACTTGGTCGCAGGCCTGAGGCAAAAGTTTCATGGAAACTGGTCTCCTGGAAGTTCCCTGGCATCCCATATCATGGATGTGTTCCAGATTTGTTCTAGCAATAACCGGTGGATGTTTCTGTACCTTATCTGTTTTGGTATTAATTTCTTTTGGAGGAATAAGCATGCCTCAAGGGTCCAGTCTGATCGAAGATCCAGTAAAATCGGATCTTCCTCCTCTGGCCACCACTGATGTTCCAACTTCCTTGCCAGAAACAGAACTCACAAAACCAGGGGCCAATGTTGGGCTCCTCCATTAAACCGGGAATTTTCTCAAAAGCTTAGGATAACGGCTGCTGGAATTTATGATAAAGAAGATAATAGGACAAGATCATGTGCTGTAATACACCTTGAATTTCATGGAAATGCTTGCTACCTCCTTGGTCTATTATCCAAGGCACAACCAAATAATATAGTCAAAAGTTCAAAAAGGCAGGCCAATGGTTGGTTAAGTTCTGGAACAAGAATTGGGGTTACAACTGGGGCATATGACCATAAGACAAGGCAAGTAATTCTAAGAATAGGTTGATTTCAGACATAGCTGATGCTATCATGTTGTAGCCACTGTCTGGCTACAGCCAGTTCTTATGTATTTGATTTTCTATTTTGAATTTTGGTCTCATGATGTGTTTTATGTGCCAATTTTGGTGAGTCCAATGTATTTTGACACATACACAAAATTATCTTATCTGTTTTGAACTTTCAGTCTTATGATGTACCTTATGTGTCAGTTTTGCTGATTTCAATGTATTTTGACATAGGTACAAAATTAACTTCTTTACTTCCTCATGTAATGATTATAAAAGTCTGATGCATGCTTTGAGAAATTACATTCAGATTCAGCACTCTCTTGTGTTTGTGTCTGTTTGTCACTCGCCGACTCGTTGCCTACCTGAGTACCTGATCCCTGATTCTCCCAGGGTTGAGGGGCCCTAACTGGGTCTTCCCTTAGAAGAAAGGTTGATTTCCTGCTGGTGTTAATTATGGAATAAGGACTAGCGCGATGGATGGAGCACAAGCCATGGAGAGCACGTTAACCACAGTTAATTATAGCGAGACCAAAAGGGGGGAGACAGACATGCCAGAGAGAGCAAGATGAGAGAGGATGATATATATGTATATATATAGTATGCATATACGTAGATGTATAAAGATAGAGAGAAGGACAGACAGAAAGACGAGAGGGTAAGAGTCTACAAGAGAGAAGAGAGTGAGCATATGTGAGCAGGGCTCTGTCCTTTAAAGGGGGCCTTTGTATCTACAGGCAGATTGGGTCTCAAGGAACTCTGGGTTGGCCAGAGTGCTGCCTGAGTGCATTCTGCCAGGTAACAGGGCAGGCCAGCGTAATGCCTGAACCTTTAACCTGCTTTGTCACGTGGTCCAGCGGGGTGGAGGGGGAGAGCCACAGTTCCATTCTGTGTGGTTGAGGCTCTGCAGCTTGTGTAGGACCTCCCCAGTCTCCATCCTGTGCTGGCTGTCCCCCATTCCCAGACATCCAGTTGTCTGGCAGCATGTGCCTGTGGTGGCCCCTGTGAGGCACAGAGTGAGGGGAGGTGGAAAGATATTGAACTCAGCTGTATCCCCTTGAAGAATTTGTGACTTTATGCTGGGTTCCTGAGGATCGGGCTGTGGGCGTAACAGCCGTCACATGTGGGGCAGAAGGTATTATGGGTTCGAGGCGAGGGAGAAAAGTCTTGACCCAAGGGAGCCGGTCCTGTATGAGACTTCAGCAGGTGACTATGTATGGTATCTGATCTGGATACCCCGTGTCGGGTCTGAAGACAGTGTCTTCCTGTGGGAACAACAGACCTTGGCCGGAGGAGCAGGCAGCTGTAACCAACTGCAGAGTAAACATGTTTACTAAAAACAAGTTTACTAAAAACAATCTGGTGCCCTTAAGAAACGTTTACCAGAGCAGTAAGTTCCTGATGAGGGCTCGCTCACTGGAACATCCTGACTTTGATCTGGAGCAGTATGTTCCTGATAATGGCTCCCTCATGGGAACACCCTATTATCTTTACGATGGTTAGCCACCTTTTCCTGACCCCACTCCTGACGAATCTGGTGTCAGGGGCATATAACCAACCAAGGTAAGATAAAGCAAAGCTTTCTTGGGAAGCTTCCTTTAAACTTTTCTTGGGGGGCTTCTTGAAGTTTTCTGGAAGCCTTCTTAAAGTTTTCTTTGCACCACCGACTGGTCTCTGTGTCATCAATCCCGACACCCTCTGCACATTCTGGGACACGGGCTTCTCAGCAGGGCTCAGCATCTTCCCCTACTAGCGAGGTCAGGGGAAAGTCCCTTCTGGGGGCCAGCCTACATTGAAAGCAGGCCGTTTTGCTGTACAGAATGAGTCCATTTGTCCCTGTGGACATAAACGCTGTTCTTGTGAGCTCTCACCTTCACATCCTTCCAGTGAGCCAGGCTGAGATCTAAGGGAGAAGAAGGTGTCTGTCCCATGTTAGTTATCATCTGGGGGGTCATCTGTAGGGGAAGGGCAACGGAGAGGTATACCATAAGGAGGAACGAAACAGACAGAGAAACCAAAAGACTGACTGGCGTATGCTTGTTTCCCTCAGATTCGGATGGCCTGACCCCGCGTTTCCCCGGGGGGGGGGGGAGAGTCCACAATTGTGAACACAATACGAATGGGAGGGGTCTCCCCTGTAGGGTAGCACGGTCCTCGACTGTGCTTTCACTCTCAGGTGGCAGGTTGATCCAGACCTTGTCTGGATCCCAGTCAGGTGAGAGCTCGGGACGTCCACCAAGGTCTCCAGGTCTACCCCATCTAATGCATCTACTAAGGGCTGACCTGACTCTGCAGAGTCTCAGATGTACACAACCAGACCAGAACTACAGGTCCAGGTGAGAGTACCTTCTATGGAACAGAACAGAGCAAACACAGAAGAGACAGAACACTCATTCTCTGCTCACGAATCCAAAGTTCTTGGGAGTCAAGGTTCTGGGAGACGTGGGCACAACCGGTCCATTACATTGAAAGACCCGAAGTTAGAGGGTTTCAGGTTGATACCCCGGTGACGTCCTGAGCTCAATAACCAGACAGTTGGATGCAACCGCAAGAGGTTTCATTTTTTACACAGGCATCTGTGGGCGATTCAGCAGCTTGACTAACTGAACGCGTCAGGCCCTAGGACAGCTTTCTTTTTATATACATAATTTTGGCAAGCAAAGTAATAGGAGTATTGTAAGGAGTGGAGCTACTGCAGGTGCAGATCTGGGCAAACAATAGGCTTAACTCATCCTCCCTGGAGAAACCACAAGGTCAGATTTACACTTATCTCTACAGCCTGCTGGTTTCCTTCGTTAGCACTCTGGACCAGATGTTCTTTTTAATTAGACCTTGCTCCCTGTCCAGGGGAAGGGACCTTGGGGAATTTTCCACTGAGGCGCCTTTCTGAGTCAAAAAGTGGGGGTGTATTGAGGTTTTTTAGCATCAAATGTTGTGCCCACTTGGAGTGGACCTCAAGGCTTCAAGGAGCTTAACGGCACTGAATGCAAGTACAAGAAGGTTCGTTTATTTCTTGAAAACCAGCTAGCCAGGGCTTAACACTGTTGGGAATGTTGAAGACCTGAGCCTCAAACCCAAGGCACTTTTAAAGAGAAAAAAGAAGGGGTGTCCAGAGCCCGCAGTCTCAGTCCCTGGGGTTCCCATGGTTACAGAGATTACTTAGCATACCAAGTTTTTATACAAGGTTATTATGAGAGGAAGGGCCTTGTGAAGACAATAACTGCCATTTGGTTAGGTAGAATTAGTTGGAACATCTATGTTCTAGGATTCCACGGCTGGAGCATATCCTGCGATTGTGAGCTAGGGGTTTGTTTTCGACTGAACTTTAGGGCAAGAGGCTGTCTGCTTCCCTGTCTTCTCAAGGTAAGGCAGTAGCTGCAGTTTTTGTTGCAACTGCTTGTAGGTCTGAGCTTCTGACCACGTAACCCCCTCACTTATTGGGGACTTTTATTCTCCTTATTACATTCCATCAGATTGGTGATTATATTTAACACAAAAAAACACACAAAGCAGCCTAGAATCAAGGCCACATGGCTAAGGTTCTTTGTGTGCGAGGGCAATTAGGAATGAGGTGAGGATTAGGGTAACAGATGCTGGTCCATGGTAGGGACTCAAATGGCAAAGCTGAGGTGCTGCCTGTTACCAGACATCCCTGGGAGCCGTGGAACAGGAATCAGGTGTGTAAGGGTGTCGAGTAGTGAACCTGAGAGGAGAGAGGGGCCCTGGGGGACTCTAGGATGAGCCCCATGTGAGGAGGAGAGTCAGGCAGGGAACCCCAGGAGTGACCTCACACCCTTAGGGATGACCCAACAATGCAGAACCCTGCAAGCAGCGAGCCAACTGCTGAGAGACAGCCCGGCATGCTCACTTGTCTTGAGACACGAGAGAAAGCACGATGTTTTCGTGCTGTCTCGGGAATACTCGAAAAGGAATCTCAGACCTCAAGGAAGACAAAAGAGGAGGTAGTGGTGGAGGTCATGGCGGTGCCTGGAGTCTCCGGGCATGCTCCTGGATCCAAGGCCTCTGGCCATTTGGCCTGAAAGAGACAAACTTGACCCAAGGAGGCCAGAGAAGCCGGGGCAGCCAGGGAACTCAGGAAAGCCAGGGCATCCAGGTCCAGGACGTCACAGTCCAGGTGAGCACTGTGAGATCTCAGAGTTTCTTCCAGGTTCATTCTGGGTCTTTGGCAGTGAAGAGGTTCAGGAACAGCTTGAAAGGATGACAACCAGTCAGAAGGTCGGAGTACTGTGTCTGTGTGATTTCTCCTCAGGTCCGGGAGGAGTCTGCCCCTAAGATGTTGGAGGAGTCCCGTAGACCATCCCAGTTTGGCTCAATGGAAGAGATGATGGCACAATTAGTGACGTCCATCCAGGGTGGAGACTCCTTCTTTGTCTTTGTTTTCTACTGCATACACCAAAAGTTTCTCACCACTCAGCATGTGCTGGACCTGCTGTTCAAGCGGTGAGTGCCCACCTCCGAGCTCAGAGGCCTCAGATCCTCTTGTTGGCTGTGGGAAGCGCTCTGCCTTTCTCAGAGCCTACTGAGTGTCTAGGGTCTCCTCAGGACCCAACAGCATGCAGTCAGAAAATGCTTCCTCCAGGCTTTGCCCTAGGGACTGGCCTGTCCGCAGCTGAGAGCCTAACCAGTGTGGGTGTCCTCTGAACGCTGACGAAGCTCTGTACCCTTGGCCCAGTTTTACCTGAGGCCTTGGTCAAAGCACTCCTCCCATTGTGAAGGGGGCTAGACTCCATTTTGGAGTAGCGAAGAGAGCTGCGTCCAGAGTGGAGAGCCGTGGACGGTAATGCGAGGGAGGCACCCTGTGTCCGCTGAGGTGTCTGGATAGAGATGTTTGTGATCACCCACACACTGTACAAACATATGAGAAGCAGCTCCTCGTATGCAGGGGAGCTAGTCATTCTTAGAGCAGACTGAACTTCTTGGTTCTGGAGTTTCATTCCTCTGCAGGAATGAGCAGGCCCCCCAGGTGTCTTTTCTGTGGTGTATCTGGGGCTCTCCTGGTGACATCACCCTTCCTGGTCTCCTCTAGATACCCATCCTTCCGGCCCGACTCTGAAGAGGATGAACGAATAAAATAGTAAGTGGGCTCTGCACCGAGACAAGTGCTGCCTAGGCTCTCCAGAGCCGGCTCTTTTTGGTTCTAAGGGCAAGGGATGGCCGGTGCTTGGGTCTCAGCGTCCTTGTGTCTACTACCACACGGAGGTCTAACCCTTACTGGGAGGCTGAGGAGAGCCTTCTGGGCAAAGACCTCGCAAGTGGGGATATGGGGAAGCCTAGCGGCCTCCAGTGCCCCTGGGAGACTCTACCCTCGTCTCAGTCCCGTGGTGTGCGGGCTGGGCCAGCTGTGCTCCATCAGAGCCCGAGATAGGGGTGTGTGGAGCTCCCTGCTCACATGGACCTCGCAAGGGCAGGATCTCTTCCACCTTGGGGTCTCATACCCGTGGAGCCCTCCCAGGGTGGGGTGGCAAAGGAAAGAGCAGGCCATCGACTGTGCTGTCTGTCCCTCTCTGCCAGCACCATCTGTACCCTCCTGGACTACTGGATCGACAAGTTCCCTGAGGATTTTTGCACGATCCAACACCTGCCCATTCTGAACCAGGTGAAGACCTACTTGATTGTGAACATGCCCTCCTCAGACCTTCTGGTTCGTGTTAAAATGCTCCAGATGCAGTTGGAGGCTTAAGTGGCCAGTTATTCAGGGGTCAGAAATTAGGAATCCTCTGTTTTAATTTCATTCTTTGGGCTCTTTATTCTTTTCGTGTGCCAACCATTCCCAAATAAATCAGAAGTAATCTCGTTGTTTGTCATAAATTCTCCATCTCAGCGTGGCTTCTTTCTAGCTGCTTTTCTTAATTGGTTATTCTATCTTTAGTCTCTGGGTTTTTTCCATTCCCTTTCTCCTGTATTCCTTTCTTCTTACTTTACGGATGGCTGTGTAGCTGGGGGCTGGTCCCTGGTGTCCTTCTCCTGGTTTCCTTTCCCTTTCTCCCTTGAGCCCTCTTCCCATATTCCCTCCAATTCATTTTCTCTGCCTGCCAGCCCCGCCCATTTTTTCTGCCAAACTATTGGTTGTTCAGCTCTTTATTAGACCAGTCATGGTTTAGACAGGCCAATAAACACAGCTTCACAGAGTGAAGGAACATAAAAGAACCCAACATATCTTTGCATCATAAAACAAATGTTTCCCAGATTTACCATATGTAACACATCCTATAACATCGTTCCACACCAGTATGTATTCATAGTGCACAGACTTGGGGAGCACATTCACTATGGATGGATACTCTCTCAGCCTAGATGCATGGGAGAGTGCCTAGACCCTGCCCCAAGTGATATGACAGACATTGATGATTTCCCCACGGAAGGGCTCAATCTCTCTGGGGAGCAGATAGAGGGGGTGGATGGGGGTTGGGAGGAATGGGAGGATGGGAGGAGAGGGAACTTGGATTGTTATGCAAAATAAGATTGTTTTTAATTTAAATTTTAAAAAAGATATATTATTCCACAACATTTCCCCTTTTCATCTAAATAAAAATGAAACCTTTTAAAGTTTAACATAGTAATATTATGTACACCAAAAGAGTTTTCTAGGAAGATTTAATTTATAATATTCAGTCTATTTGCATTTCACAAATTCAGAGAAAATACTACTTTATCTTCAGAAGTCCAAAGTTTTATATCTTTTTTATCATAACTAAGAAAAACTGAAACTCTAATTACTTAGTCATTAACTCCATCAAAGGCCGCAGAAGGATGTGATATTACCTAACTACAGCAATGTCTGGCTGCCTGGACAGTCACCCAAAGCTTCCCTGTAGCAATGAGGTGATCATCTGCAGCCTGCAGGCCTATGATATTTGGAAGACTTTTCAGTGAAGCAGGAAATTTAAAGGACTGTCTTGCTTTGCATTGGCAATTTCCATCTACTTTCCTGTGTGTCCTGTGTGTCCAGTTTGTACAGCATACAGCTAAGAAGTCAAAGCAAAAGCAGCTAAATGGCTAATCATGCCTCAGTGAAAGCAAACCGCTATGGTGGTTCTTCCATGCCCATCATCTTTCTATGAAGGAAATCGGTGCTGCCACGGGTAGAATCTTCTCATTGTCATGAAAAACTTTAGGTTAACAAACATTTTACCTGCAATATTCTGTCGTTCTTTGAAGGGTTTGAGGATCATTTATCTAAACTACACGAGTTTAACCTTGAAAATATACCTAATGTAACTATAAGTTTGATTATAACAGATTAACTACTAACCTCATTTCTTATTCATACATTACGTTTTTAAATCAGTTGCATAAGCATAATACCCCAAACAAAAATAAAAACATATGTACAGTGTAGCAAAATTACCTTTAAATTTGTTTCAATACACCAAATTTCATGCCAGTGCAAAATATCTGAGATCAATAATTTTCTTTTTATCCTATATTCCTATATTCCCCTAAATTTAACAAACACCCATGACCCAAGAAATAACCAAAACTCACCCACACCATCTCTTTGATAATATGATCATCATGTTTTCTAGACTGCTTCCTATTGTCTGTGGGTAAAGGCATCTTTAGGGTCCCTGATAAAATTTGAGATAAGGACCCAGATCTGGGACAGTGATATATGTCACCGTCAAGATTCAGGAGGTCTTCCCTGATCAACCATATTACTTGGAAAGAATCCATAGCCTGTTGTTTCCAATGAAAACAAAAGCAAAAACCTCTTCTGGAAATGATTTTTGATTCCAGTTGACAAATACATTTATTGTCTTTTAAAGACTTATTTTTAATAATTTCTTTTTTCCTTTTTTATTTAAATTAGAAACAAGCTTGTTTTAAATGTCAATCCTACTAATCAGTTCTTTCTAAGACTCTACACTCATTTTCTCTCTTAAGCCAACACCCACTGCGAAACACATTGGAACCTGATTGCAGACTTGTTCTATCTGACCGTCTTTGCATATCATTTAGCCTTTTTAACCCTGTGAGCAAACTTTAAACTGCTCGCCTACAGCTTGGTCTCTGCACTTCTCTAGCTGCAGGCACTAAGTGCCTCTTGATCCATGAGCGCAGAGCCTAAGCTCTAGACCTGGTGAGAGACTCATGCAATCAGCCTTCCTAGCCCTCCTTCCCTCTCCTGCAGAGCGACGTGGCTGCACTAACCATCACAGGTCTTTCAGCACCAAGACGTTGCTTTTCTCCCTCATGTGAGCATGCCCGATCCTCTGCCCGCAACCTTGATTGACTCGGAGGAAAGGTGATATGGGGCACTTCTGCTTTTAAGGTGTTCTGGTGAGACTGGTGTCTTCCTCCAGCTGTTTATTAATAGAGGGACACAAACGTGCTCTCCTTCCTGATGTGTGACATCTAGCATCACCCACAGCCACCAACAGTGTTTGCAAGAGGACCTCAAGTCCTCCAGGTATGGACACTTGCTATAAGTTTATTCCTGGAATCTTGATTGCTTTTGGACACCATGAAGCTGGCCATAACGGTGTCCTCCATCGTGCTAGAACTTGGGAGGCTGAAGCTGGAGGATTACAAATTCAAACCCTTGTAATGTGTTCAAGGCCAGCCTGGACTGCATGAGAACCTCTATAGGAACAATGTGAACTGGAGGTGTCCTTCAGTGCTTACCCATTGTGAGGCCACAATATCCCCACAAACAAATACCCCTGTTATATATGGTCAGGATTTGTCTCATAGTTTCCCCATCCTCACAGATCCAAGTATCGAAAAGGCATTCCCTACTCTGGGATGATATTTGAAAAGCACAACCACAGCCTGAGAGTAGGTTTCTTTCTTGTTTGAGGCAACAGAGAAAGTTGTGACACTACAACTGAATACACTTGCCCTTCAAAAACTGAGGGACCCCACTGTTAACATGAGCTACATGAATTAGGCCAAGACTCTATCTATGCCTCTAATGGTTACAGTTTTTTCTTTCTCATTGTTCTCAGACAATCTCACAGGTGCAGCTCATGTTGGCTTGGTTTGGAATTCCTATGTACCTCAGGCTGGCATTGAACTTATGGGAATTCTCCTGCTTCAGCCTCCTGAAGCATGGGCAATGTGGCTGGCATTCTTGGGTGTCATCTTGAGTACACTTAGATTTAAGTAAAACCGAAAAAGCTTGATGCACATGTGAGGAATTCTCTTTATTTTTCTATCTTTTTTTTTCAAGAAACGGTTTCTCTGTAGATTTGGAGGCTGTCCTAGCTCTTGTAGTGCAGTCTGTTCTTGAATCACAGAGATCCATCCGCCTCTGCCTGCTGAGTTCTGGGATTAAAGGCTTGCACCACCACCGCCCAGAATTATCCTTCTCAATAAAATCCTCTGACGTGGGAAAACCTATTTCTAATCCAGATCTCTGAGTTTGGAAGAGCTACCTGTAATCTAGACCATACCTTTGCTGGCATTCTGTATCAGGCCATGGAAGGACACTTGCTCTCTTTGCCTACTTCTCCAGGATTCCAGCATATACTGAAGACCATCTGAGACACCTAGGCTCATGAATGAACAACACTGGGTTCTTGGACCTTCCATACATAGGCAGCCACTATTGGATTGACTGTACCACAGCCTATAAGCAATTCTAATTAACCCATTTCTCTCTATACATGGAGAGATTTATTCCATAAATTTTGTTACTCTAGAGAACCCTGACTAATACAGGCAACCACGTTTGGCTCCAAATTGATTTTCATGATCAGAGGAATGATTAGGGTGAGCATGAATTACATGCAGTGCTAACCATTATGAAATATCATCACCTCTATAGCAATATGCAAGTGTAAGTTAATGAAATAATGAATAAAATTTAAAAATTACTTGCTCTTTAATAAGTATATCAAATGAGAAGGGAACTTGTAATTTTAAAATGTGGCACGAGAGAGAAAGATACCATGCGAGAGAGCTCACATGGAGGGGTTTTTATTAGGGAAAGGATCATAAAAGGAGAAACGGGGGAGGGGGTGACAGGCATTACAGGAGCATTTTGGAGCTAGGAAAGAGAGGCAGAGAAGAAAAGAGACAGAGAGAGAGAGAGAGAGAGTGAGCGAGGAAAAGAGACAGACAGACTGACAGACAGATAATCTGAGGGGCAGAAAGATAAGAGGTGGGCAGGGTCCTTTTAAAAGGGAAATTGCACAGGAGGTGCTCTTAATGGCTACAGCTGAGGGCATATCCTGTCAGAACTCCTAGGGCATGCCAGTACAAATGGCTGAATACTAACAAAACTGAATGCTATCAGGGACTTAATGGGCCATGTGGATTATTAAAACAAAAATAGAAAACTCTGGATGAGAATAACAATTAATGCTACTCACTAGCATGTTAGCCATGCTGGGATCCACTTAGAACAAAGAGAGAGGGAGGAGGGAAGGAGAGCACAAGAGAAAACAACGCTTTCCTTCCTTCACCTTTCCATGTTGGAGGGAATCAAATACGTGTTTCTGAACAAGAAAACTAAAGGGTTATTGGATCAGAGTGTTGCCTGGTTGAGGAGTGGACATGACTAAATACATGGGATGTAACAACCAAGTATGTAGAAGCTGTACCCTGGACGGGGGAGTATCAAAAAAAAGAGGTGAATGATAAGGTCCTTGAGTGAGTGTGGAGTGAGGATGTGTAGGGAGCTGGGAATCAAGATTTTTGCCTCCTGGACAAGCCGTGCTACCACACGAGGGTCTGGAGGCAGGATGGCCAGCCTCTGATGACCATGTTAAATGTTTGGAGAACTGCACAACGGGGCTATGTGTGTGCTCCCTGCCTTTGACAGGGTATTGCAAAGACGGGTAGTTGCTTAGCAGGCAGAAAGG